TTTCTTCTAGAAACTCATCATCTTCTTCTTCTTCTTCTTCTTCCTGGTCCATTTATGTTGCTCTTCTTAATGGTAGTAAGCCTAAGAATACTAATCATCTCCCAAGATAATCATCCAATATCAAGAACATCATATCAACTCAATCGACTTTAGAAAACCACACAACATAAAGATCATAACTTCTCAAGATCATTCAAGAAAATGGGTTTGATGGTTATCTTGATGCCTACAATAATTTGATGCTCATCGATTAAAACTTGACAATTGTTATATGTTATACCAATTTTGTGCCACTCCTTTCATTTTTTTTCTTAATATCGAAACATGCTATGAAATGTGGACAACATTTCTTCATTGAATATAGCCTCAAACAACTCTTGCATCACACTAAAAAAGAAAAGAACTTCGCTACATATCCATGAAATCCCAAACCATAACCCATACTTATCCTAAATCAAAATAGAAGAAGGCACCATCGTTACTACAAGGTCCCCTCTCTACCACAAATACATTGGACTCTACATGCTAAATGGTCTACCTCCTTCATATCAAGCAGTAAAGACTGCTACTAGAACAAACTCTAACCAATTAGCCTTACGGATCAACACCCTCTGCTTGGTAGTGTAGAATCCAACCATGCTATGGAAGCAGCCAAAGAACACCACCTTATGCAATCAACCACAACCATTATTGCTTTGATAGCCATAAGGAATAGGAGGAATGCTTGTTTCCCTCACTCCTCCACTAGTTTAGGTAAATCCAACCACATCTAAAAAAACAATTAAGAAATCAATATCATTTATCCAAGAGGAACATAAATCAACATCCTCCTTCATCCCCTATTACATTTATGACAAAATCGACACACTACAGCCAATTGTTGGCATCTTAGTTATAATGATGCACCCCTAATCAACAAACTTTCTTCTCCACAACTGTGTTTTCCACTATATAACGCTTTCTTAACACAAGAATAACCTCACAACTTTCATATACAACGAAATTACACAATCATATTAAGTACTAAGGAACCGAACAACTTATGTTCAATAATGGTGACTCGCTGCCCATAATTACACTGGCCAAGGCGTACTTCAAACACCATATATTAAGCTCACTTTATCTAATCTACTTCATGTTACTAACCTCCTTAACAACCTCATTGTGGGTCTCCGAAAGGATTCTGCTTGAGGGGAACAAAATACAAAGAGTATGATCGCACCATCCCGTACGACAAAATAATTATAGACATTTGCACTCTACACAAGCAAACTAATGAAAGAACAAATAAGATCATATATACGATTAACCATTAAGGAGAGTGGTTTTCACCTATGCACCTCGATGAGTAATAACATATATATAAATCATGAGTTTTTCCCCATTCGATATATCAATTCAAATGAGATTTATTTGATGTGGTGATCAATTTCCCACAAGCACAAGCCCCCGTGGTTAATTACATCTTAAGTATTATCTTAAGAAAACTCTCGATTAAGGACGTCATATTATTCTCTCAAAGGATTTGATGCATAGGAAAAATTTAGGCTCTCCTAATCCAAAGGAAAAGATGTGCTCAATTTAGTTTAATCAACATACGCGGATCATATCATTACTTGATCGATCTGAAGAAAAGAAATTATGAAAAAAGATACTACACTCAAACATGCACGAGAGAATGATGGAGGTGGTGTCATCCGTGTGATTTAGATGGGTGAAATTTATAGCCTCTGAAAGATAGAGAGCTTACCCAATGATAAGGCATACAACGGTACACTAGCATCCATGATATAACTAATACAATCTAGACTTATATCTTGCCTAAAATAAAACTAGCTTAGCCACCTAGTCGTATTGAAGTCCATGTTATCCATTATTTATGAAAGATGGGTGGGTTGTTAAGTTATTAAAATTTAAGGCTGACGTCGAGAGAAGTTCCTAAGTGGCATTGTACTTATAGAGGGTATAATTAAATTTTAATTTTTGTTAGTTTCTAATAAAATGCATGCTAGTTAAAGTATCTAAATCATAAAATGCATGAAATTTTAAAAAGGCTTATAAAATAATTTTTTAGAAGACTAGGCTTCTCCGGGTTTACCACCTCATCCTCATAGGTCAAATTATTTGAACTCTGCCTGCAGGCGAAGAATTGTCTAAACAAGGAAAAAGAAGAATGCATTAATATGCATGCGATCCTAAATGATCTCAAGCTTATTTCTTAGGTCATTATCTTTCTATGTTATTTAATTCTTAAAATTTTAATTTTTAAATACGATTAAAAATTTTAATTCGGACTTTTTGATTGGGAAACGGTGTTTTCTGAACGAATAAGCAGACAGCAAATAAATTCTGTAACCATCCAAAATACGTGGTTTAATAAAAAGTAATTATGATTAAATTTGTCTTCCAAACAGTTATGCCGAACTGATTAAAGCTTATTAAAACGGAAATGGAGAAAATAAACCTAATCAAACGAGGCCTCAATATATATCCCAGAATACAAAAAAGCAATGGTGGTCAGGCTCCTCTGACAACAAATTGGGTTCTAATATTATAAAACGACACAAATCTTAAAATGAGGCATTTTAGTTTTGATTTTCATCTTTTGGTTCTTCTATGGGTCATCTTTTTGCAGACTTCTTATGGTACATCCTCGATAGGATATCTAAATGAAAAGAAATTCAGTAAAAAAATTCATCTTGATTGGGCACAAATCTCAATGTAAATATGAGTTGAAAGTTTCAAAATTAAATTCAATATCATATGAACTCTGATATTAGCAAACTTATAGTCAAATTGATCATCTCAAAGAGATGAACCCAATGATACCAAATTCAATCCAATTCGAGCTCAAATGAGTCCAAATCAAATGACCAAAGCCTACTTAAAAGATTCATAGTATTAATTGGATAACTAAATGATATCTGAATATGACATGTTAATAGATGTTTGATAAATGCTCCATGATCAAGGGGGGTCAATATAAGTCATCTGATGGAACACTCTCAACATACCATTGATCTTCTCCATATTTACTAGGCATGCCACTCCAAAAAAATTATAAATAAACCTCTCATTCTTCACGTGAGGGGGAGGAAGAAAGAAGAAAACTTGGAAGCTTTCTTACCACCTAACAGCTGCCAGATTTTCTTCCTGATCATTGACCATCGTTGGACTTTCGCCCGTTCATCAATAGCCACCAGATTTCTCCCCGATCATCAACTGTCACAAAACTTTTGCCTGTTTGTTGGCCACTACTGAATATCCTCCTAAGTTCCGGCCGTCACCAGACTTTCGCCCGTTCGTTAATCACTGCCAGATCTCCTCCTGGCTTCAGACCATCGCCAGACTTTGGCCGTTCGTTGGCCCCACGAAATCTCTTCCAAACCATCAACTGTTACCGGACTTCCACTCCTTCATTGGACATTGTCGAATCTCCAACCATCATCATACCTCAGATAAACATTCTCCTAACTATTGCCACCAGATTTCCAACATTTGTCATTCATTCGAGCTTAAGAATACCCATCCAAAGTTCGGCAAGATCTTTAAAATATTATTTTCATATTATTCTCAAGTTGAAGGACATGTCAACTTTTATAACTTATTCAAACAATAATCAAGACCGGGCAAGATCCCATAATTTTCTCTCTTTTCATAATTTTTCACGTAAAATTTTTAGTATTTCTTTGTCATCTTAATTGCATGTTAGTGTGCTGAATTTTTGTGCATTACTGAGACGTAAAATCTTTTCTCTCTATTGCCACAAATTTCTTAGTCCACAACACATAAAGAAAAATAATGTATGTTTTATTTATTTTTAATAACACTTAAATATTTAAAATGAAATAAGATAATCATATATTTTAATATAAGAAAATTAATATAATATAATATATAGAATTCAATAATTTATTTAAAATAAATATTTATATTATTGGAAGTCAAAAATATTATTTCACTATGCTCTATTAAATAGAAAGTAAAAAAGTTAAAAAAAAAAAGATTAATCGTATTTTAAAAATCATTAATTTGTGCTCCTATTGATAAAAAATTTTTACTCCACTCCTAACAATGCTCAGTGAAAAGGTGATATAGTGCATTAAAAATGATTCAAATTGAATGATTTTAAAATAAAAAATAAGCTAAATATTAAATTTTAAATAGATCAACAACTTATTTTTATTGTTTTCATCCAACTAAATAATTAAATTTTAAAATTTTCATCCAACTAAACAATTAAAATATTTTATTTTCTATATACTTTCATACTATGCTTCAAATATTTCAAATAAAACGGCGCCTTACTTAAATTGAATTCGGCTGTCACCACAGCCCAACCGTCCCAAACCGGAAAAACATTTGAGACTGGCCTATCTCCGAATCCCCAGCTCTCTCCGCCTTTATTGTGCCGTTGATCTAATCCTAATCTAGTGGACAATAGCAAGCAAGCGAGGTAAAGCTAAAGCAGCGTACTTGAGAGAGAAAGCGCCGCAAAGCATCCAGTCCTCTTAATCCCGAAAGATTGAAGCTTTGTATTTTTCCTCTTAATCCCGAAAATTTTGCAGTGGCGGCGGCGGCGGCGGCGGCGGCAGCTTTAGCTGAGGAAGAAGAAGAAGGAAGAAGGCGACTTCCGGAGGGCTTTACCGTATTTTGAATAAGGAACAAAAGAAAAGAAAAGGAGGCAGCTTGTACAGGTAATGATCAGCCATGTGAGACAGTGGGAAGATTCTGATTTCTTATTTGTTTTTCTTTATGTCAATACAGAGTAATAGCTATCCCTCTTTCCTTCCGGAGGATTGGTCGTCTTTTTCTCCTTGGCAGGAGACGAGTGAGGTGAATTTCAGAATCTTTGCCTTTCCGGGAGGATAACTGGAACTTCACAGTTCAGGCTTATAGAGATTTCGGCCTTTTTCTTGTCTTGGTGTATCTTCTTCCTGCTTAGTATATGTGAAAGGAACGTTTCAAGGGTTTCCCAATGACTTCATCCTGAAAAGAGGTCAGTATTGTGTTATCCTCTGCAATAGCTCGCTCCTTCTCACTGGTCTCTTTTCACCATCAATTATCTGATGCATATTTATGAAAGCAATAAAGTGCTTGAACAGTCAATGCTTCTATTATAAACCCTATGCTTTGAATAAGTTCCCATCATCTTGTTCCTGTGTTCAGCCCTTATTACTTTACCAAATCCACTTGCATTAAATGCCTGTTCTTTGTTGCACGAGGTGATTAAAAAACCCACCTTTGTCCTCGTTTGAAGAAAACCTAGAGCTTTCTTCCTCTCATTTGAAGAAAACCATCTTAAATTTTCCATTTTGATTTGCTTAACCTCCAGCTCCGAATCTTCACTACCCTCTAAAACCTACAAGTTCTAATTTTGTTCCAGGTGCAATGGCTAAGGACTACCCTGGGCCTGCCAATTTCTACCAGCTGGAATCGAGGAGGCAGCGCCTCACATGGATCCTAGCAATAAGCAGCCTCTGTGCCATCTTCTACGTTATAGGCGCTTGGCAGAACTCTTCCATTCCCAAATCCAACCATTCAAATATCTCCAAAGTCAGGTGCGACGACATCAGTGACAGTACCGCCTTGTCGAAGAACAGCCTCCATGGTGCCACCTCCTTACAATCAAATGCCAACCTTGATTTCAATGCTCACCACCAGCTAGACCTAAAAAATACTTCACCTTCCATGGAGAACTTTCAACCTTGTGCCATGAACTTCAGTGAATACACTCCTTGCGAGGACCGAACCAGAGGGAGGAGGTTTGAAAGAGCAATGCTGGTTTATAGAGAACGCCATTGTCCTACCAAGGATGAGCTTATCAGATGCTTGATCCCAGCTCCGCCAGGGTATAAGAAACCTTTCAAGTGGCCTCAAAGCAGAGATTATGCTTGGTACCACAACATCCCTCACAAGAAACTAAGTGTTGAGAAGGCTGTTCAGAACTGGATCCAGGTTGAGGGTGATCGTTTCCTATTCCCAGGTGGCGGCACGATGTTTCCTGAAGGCGCTGATGCTTATATTGATGATATCAATGAACTCATTCCGTTAACTGATGGGAGTATAAGGACTGCAATTGATACTGGTTGTGGAGTATGCTCTTAAAGATCCATCCTTTTTCGGTTCTGTAAAAAAATTTCTTTGATAAGTGAATTGTGAGACCTTTTTAAAAATGTTTTTGAAATTTTGAAGGTTGCAAGTTGGGGAGCTTATCTACTGAAGAAGAGCGTACTGACAATGTCTTTTGCTCCGAGAGATACACACGAGGCACAGGTCCAGTTTGCGCTGGAACGAGGAGTTCCAGCCATGATAGGAGTAATGGCATCAATGAGGATTCCATATCCTGCAAGATCTTTCGATATGGCTCACTGTTCTCGCTGCTTGATCCCCTGGCAAGCTCATGGTGGGTATCTCTGTCTTAAAATTTGCATTTTTTATGTATTGATTAAGTTAAATTTATGATTCCTAACATTCTACAGAAGTTTAGTTTTGTTATAATGAAAGAAACTTTCAAATATTTGTATAAAGTAGCATTATATATTGTCCTATTCATTCTATTGGATTATTATATTGAGGGATTCTGCATTCGCTTCAGAGGGTCTGTATCTATTGGAGGTTGACAGGGTTCTACGACCTGGAGGATTCTGGATTCTTTCAGGTCCACCTATCCATTGGAAGAAGTATTACAGAGGCTGGGAAAGAACTCAAGAAGATCTGAAGCAAGAACAAGATGCGATAGAGGAGGTTGCCACACACATATGCTGGAAGAAAGTGATCGAAAAGGAAGATCTGTCTATTTGGCAGAAGCCCATCAACCATAATGAATGCATCAATTCAAGAAAAGTTTATCAAACACCCCACATATGCAAGAATGGCAATGCTGATGCTGCTTGGTACAAGAAAATGGAGACTTGCATTACTCCATTGCCAGAAACCAGCAAAGATGTTGATGTTGCCGGCGGAGAGCTGCGAAAATGGCCAGAGAGGGCTTTTGCCGTGCCGCCTCGAATAAGCATGGGAACTATTCCCGGCATTACCGCTGAGAAGTTTGAGGAGGATAACAAGATGTGGAAGGAGAGGGTGGCATACTACAAGAAGCTTGCACCAACACTAAGCCGAGGACGCTATCGAAATGTGATGGACATGAATGCCAACATTGGAGGATTCGCCGCGGCGATAGACAAGTACCAAGTTTGGGTGATGAATGTTGTTCCTGTGAATTCTGATCAGGATACGCTTGGTGTTATTTACGAAAGGGGATTCATCGGCACTTATCAGGATTGGTGCGAAGCATTCTCAACATATCCTAGAACTTATGACTTCATCCATGCTGATGGTGTTTTCAGCACCTACCAAGAAAGGTATCCTTCATGAATCATGAGTACTTTCTTATTATTCTTTATACTTAGCTTTTCCAAGTAGCTCAAATGACTGTTAAACCAAGGTTTCGTTTGGGACGGTGTTTCTTAAAGCTGCTTTAAAAAATAATAAAAAAATCGTCCCAAATAAAGCCCAAGTTAAAAATACCAAAGCCTTGAAGTCAAGCTTAGATAATGATAAATATTATTAAGAAGTAGCCCAAATGATAGGTAAGCAAGAAAATTACTCGATTCATTTCTTGTTCTTATAAGAAGCATAACTAGAAAAATCTTATGGCCTGAATTATGCTCTTGCTTAGTTTGATGCTGGTAAATACCATCTTCTATTTCTTCTTTGTGTTCAATGCATCATCCTGAAATTATGAAATTAAGGAAATGGCAGTCAAAAGGAATTTTAGTTGTACTTGTCCTGGAATAGAAATGTACCACACAAACTTAAGGGAAAATTTTATAAGATGGTGGTTAGACCTGCAATGCTTTATGGCTTTGAATGTTGACTATTAAAAGAGAAGCATTATATTAAGTTAAGTGTTGCAGAGATGAGGATGTTCAGGTTAATAAGTGGCTTTACTCTTAGAGACAAAATACAAAATGAGCATATACGTGAAAAGGTTGGAACAGCTCCAATGGCAGATAAGATTAGAGAGAGTCATCTTTGATTGTTGGGTCACATAAAAAGCGGCCTTCTGATGACTCAGTTAGTAGAGTAGATGTATTAGATTTAACCTATGTTAAGAAAAGTAGAGGTAGACCTAAAAAGACTTGGTTAGAAAATATTAGAAATGACATTTCTTTATTAGATCTAAACGAGAATTTGACTCTTAATCGGACACAATGGAGAAAAAAGATTCATGTAGCTCACCCCACATAGTGGGATAAAGCCTTGATATTGTCATTGTTGTTTGTTTGTTTAATTGAATTCTTTAAGAATTATAAAGCATAGTGAAAAAGCAACGATATAAAAATAAAATTTTCTCCTTGTGAAAATGTAGATGTGACATAACATATATTCTCCTAGAGATGGATAGAATACTGAGGCCAGAGGGAACAGTATTGTTCAGAGATACTGTGGAGGTTTTGGTAAAGATTCAAACACTCATAAGGGGAATGAGATGGGATAGTAAGATGATGGACCATGAGAGTGGACCATTCAATCCTGAAAAGATCTTGATTGCTGTGAAGAGCTACTGGACTGGACAAGCAACCAAATAGCAATAAACTTCAAATCTTTATCTTTGTATAATTAATCTCTTACTGCTAATCTCTTTAAGATGTAATATTTACAGAGTTAATAGGCAAATAGCAATCTGCATGTACAAGATCTGTATTTACAGGTTCTGTTTGGGATAGATAATGTGTTTTATAAAATTTTTAGTGAAGTTACTGTTGGGAAAACACTTAGCTGTTATGGTTATAAACAAAATAGTTTTTCATCACAAAAATTTTTGTAAAGCAGTAAGAAAGCAACAATAAAGTAATGCTTAGTTTAGGGCGGTTTTCTTATTGTTTTGTAAAATTATTTTTTTATATAAACATTTCTTGAAAGCAGTGAAAAAATAATGATTTTTGTCTAAAACTTAAAACATCCAAAAAGTTATCTCAGACAGATCCTAAATTTGATAAAAATTGTAAGTTGAGCAGTGTTAAAGTTCCACTGTCTTCCTGTTTCCAGCACAAGAAAGCTTTTAATTCTCTTGGAAAATATTTGAATCTGATGAATAGAATGTCCTAATCTGAATTTGGTAATAACAAATATTATAAACATTTAATTTAATTTGAGATTGGTATAATAAAAAGCTTGACTGGTTAATTATGTATTATATTATTTTTAAAACAAATTTAATAATTATAAAATGATGAAAATTTTGTCTGAATATTCCGAATTTTGCAAATTTAAATTTTATGGTACAAGAAATGTCAAAAAAAAAAAAAAAAAAAAAAAAAAAAAAAAAAAAGTGAAATCTTTCAAAATTGAATTGTGATGATGAATTTAATCTTATGAAATTATTATTTTTTTCAAATTAGATTTTTTTTCTTTTCTTTTTTGCCACGAAATCAATACGGTCGATTTCAAATTAGTAACTTGTTTCATTTTTAGCACTTATTTCTTCCCACAATATAATTGTCAATCTCTCATACAATATCAAAAATGTACATTATATAATCTTGTTATCTAGGGAAATAAGAAGAAATCACAAACTGAAAGTTCAAAATAAGAATTAGGAAAGAAATATAATCATGGTATAAGAGGTCAAGAAAGCATTGTAATAAAAATAAAAAAATTTATAGTAGTTCGATCTACTAACCTGTATCTACTATAAGCCAACTTGAAAGAATGTCATTAATATAAGTAACAATGGCTTAATGCCACAAAATTCTTTGAAGGTGCTTAGTGCTTATCCAATCTAGTGAAGATCATAGGTTGATCCCTATGATAAACTAATGCTTCGTTTGAGATAGTTTTCTTATTATTATTATTTTTTCAAATCTTAGGTTTCGTTTGAGACAGATTTCAGCCTACTGCTTTAGAAAGCAATAAGAAAGTTATTTCAAACGAAGCCTTAACCACACTTTCTATTTTGTTTTTTTTTTTTTACTTTTAAGAATTTTTTTTGTACTAAAAAAATTATTTGTTATGTAAAAAAATTACTTTTCTCACAATTGTTTTATAGCCACTTTATAAAAAATTGAAACCATCTCAAACGGGATAAATTATTTTGTGCGGAGTTTGAACGGGAAGAACCATCCGAATATATAAGTGTACACATTTGTACACAATGTGTATCAAATTTTTTGTAGAATGTGTGTGCACCGTATGTATACTTACAGGCCGAACAGTTTTTTCCGTTCAGACTTCAAATTAAATAATTTCTTCTCAAAGGTATTCTTAGAAACTAATTTATAATCTAATAATTCCAGAAACCCATCAATCAACCAACTACATTTATTCCAAAAACCCTAATTCAACGTCAAATTAATTATTCCAAGTCAGCATCAAATGAATTATTAAGTCCTAAAAAATATTAGAATTGCTTTCAATAGGACAAGTTGATGTGGTCCTATGACCTAACCTTGAAAAGCTCCTGATGATGATCATGGAAGCCACTCTGCGTGTTCTTAGCTCTAACCTCTCTGTTATTTTCTCTCTTTTTTTTTTTTTTCTTTATTAGTATTATTTTTTTAATGGCTTTCCTCACAAACTTACTGTGATACTTAATTAGATAGATCTCTAGAAAATCATCAGCTCGCTGACCATTTGTGATCTCTTAATAATTTGGATGGACTATACAGACCCCCCTTCATACTTTAGTGCTCCTCCACCAATAGTAATAAATTATTTTTCGAAGTTATTGCAAAAATTCATATATCTCAAATTTTTTTTTTAATAAAAGTTATAGTTTCATATTTTAAAAGAGACTCCAGTTTTGTTTAGGACGACTAATTTATTGGTTCTTAAAATAATAAGAAAGTATAAAAATAAAGCATTAAAAAAAATTCATGTAGCCGGCCTCACATAGGGCAAATTATTACGTCCGGTCACCGAATGTCCGGACACCCAATCCAGATGCACCACATCACCGGAATGCACTGGGTCCCAGTGTATTTTGGTGATGCCGGACAAATCCGGACACCGGACGTAATAATTTTTCCTCACATAGTGGGATAAAGGATTGTTGTTGTTGTTTTTGCATCGTTTCGTAAGTCATAACATTACTTAATCGAGCTACATATTGAAAACCAATCGATTTTTTAAATGAGCTTCTTCCCAATCTCGGTATCAAACATGCACCGAGCTTATTAGGGCATATACAACTGAAAATTTTATTTTATTTTATTGTTTTTTTGGGAAATTTTGGGGCCTTAGCCCATATATTTCAAGAGTGGAAAAAGATTACAAGTAAATAACTTACATGTAAAGACAAGTCCACATAAGTAGAAACAAAAACTTATGCAGAGAAAAAGAAATAAACCCCAACTATACCACCTTTTACATATCTAAAGTATAAGATGAAGATCCAAAAACGTGGTAGTTGCAAAAATTTGGATATAAAACTTCTGTAGAAGAGAAGCAAGCAGAGCAGCAGCTTCAGAAGTCCTGAGTGAGCAGAGACCAAATTGAACCACAGACAACCAAAAAGTGAGGCATTAAAATAAGGCAACACCAAAACGAAACCTATAGCACCAATGAGTAGGCATATACCGAATTGAACCACGAAGAGCCAATAGAACTCCCCAGCCAAAAGTCTGGACTCAGATTGTAAAATGTCAACGTCGAATTCACGGAAACCTGGTTGCCTGAAGTCCGTCCAAGGGGCATGCTTTGGGAGTTTCATCATTGTCCAGACAAGGCAATCTATGCAGGCATTTAGAGACGGGACAGAAGGAAGGAGCACCTGCCAATTTATAATTCTTCTAGCAATTTGATTCCACCATTCCATTTTGAAACTTTTTCAAAAAGAGTCCTTTTGATACAAAGCAGAACAGAGATAACACATTGAAATTTACCTCCAAACCTCCTATTATTTCTTTCTCTCCAAGTATAATAGATAACACAGCCAACAACAAGTTTATAAAAATTCAACTTCTCAGAATTTTCCCCATAAACATCAGATAGCCAATCATACAGCTGCATAATAGATGGTCTCAAAAGGAAACAACTGCTCCCAGGAATGAGGGTTTTCAAAATAGAGAAAGAATACGGGCAATCAAAGTATAAATGGGAAACATATTCAGTGTTAGAATAACACAAATTGCATAATAACGAAACATGAATCTGTCTAAAGTTTAGAGCCACAACAGTCTTCAAACCCCCCACCAAAGCCAGCCATACAAATACCGTATGCATTAGAATGTTTCGTTTATGCCAAATCATTTTATACCAACCGCAATTTGGTAACCCAGAATAATACTCATCAATAAAATGCTTAAATTTATAGTTCTTTTTGTTGTTCCAACACAGAGAAGGCCCAGAACTATCCGAAATGGAAATGGCATTTAAGGTGTTTTGTATCAAAGATGAAAAGTGCCCAGGTAAATTCCAGGTGACACCAACCACTAGTTCATGTAAGAAACAGTCCGGCAATGAATCCAAAGAGGCATCTTGTATTTTTCACTTCAAAATCTTGTAACAATCATATCAAATAGAAAAATAATAATAAAAAAAAACAATCATGTATATCAAATATTTATTCATTTTCAACCGAACTCTATTTCTAACATAAAAAAGAATATTCTATGAATACTCTTTCTAATCTCTATTTGTATATTTATTTTCAATTATACCCTTATATTTATCAATTATTCAAATTAGATTCACTTATAATTTTTTTAACAAAAATAAATATTACTCAATAAATTAATTCAAAATGGGCACTTAATAAAATAAATATTTATTAAATAAAATAAAATTTACATTAGAACACATAAATAGAAACGAAAAAAAAAAACACATGTAACTAGACAGCAAAATTAGTACACTGTTTTCGCAAATGATCAATAAATGCATTTCAAAGTTGAATGTGAGTATCTTTATCCTCGATTTGTCTATGACGAGCAATGAATTTTTGAAATCGAGTATTATCATCAACCACCATTTCGACCTCCGGAGGTGGCACTTCTCTCACAACTTCTATTTCAACCTAATTTAAATAAATTAATAGCATTAAAAAATTAAACATATTAAAATTATAAGATTGATAACATAAGTTAAATTGATATATTTTGGATCAAAATGTTAAAATTTAATAAATTTAGGATAATTTTATGATTAAAAAAATAGAAATAAAATAAAAAGGTTTTTTAATAGTGCAATATCAATATTGGTGTCGCACTGTTCATAGTTTAGATAAAATGCCAAACTGCATTTTCATTTGCCGTTTTGGTGGACGCTCGTTGGAGCTGCAAACATGTGAATGACACTCGATTGGAGATACCCTTAACAAGCTTATTGTCGAACATAGCATCGAGCCTATTCACGAGCTTCAAATGATATTGTTTATGAATATAAACAAGTAGAAAAAATAGTTGTTCAAACATCTTTATTTGAATAGCAAATCAAACGGTCATAAAATAGCTACAATCAAACCGATTTGTAAGTAGTTTGCCAAACGTTTGATTCATTTACAAACCTACTTCCACATTAGCATATAAAGTTAAATAGTTTCCATAAAAATTGTCCCTACTCCCTTCAATTAGATTTTTATAGCCATCTTTATCATGAAATTTTGATGCCAATTGGATTCCATGGATATATATATATATATAAGTCCATACATAAAACAAACATCATTGGACGATTTTGTTTATTTTTTTGATTAAGATCTTAAACAATTGGTTTATAGAGTAAGCTGTCCATTTTTATGGAAAGGGTGATTGTCTCCCAGGGCCCATGTTATAATTAAGGTTTCGTTTGGATAGCTTTTTTATTATTTTTTATAGAAATTTTTTCATTATAAAAATTTAAATTCAAGAAATTTTTATACGAAGACTTTACTTTTAAAAATAATAAGAAAGATGTCTCAGATGAAGTCCTATATCGATTAAACTTTGCCATCTATCGGTTTTTCGTATATGAGAAAATAAATTTTTTGAGTAAAAATATTCCTATTTTTTATTAAGATTAAAAAGGGTAATTTTACATTTTTTAAATATATTTTTGCAGATTAAAGTATTGAAGAAAAAAAAAGCATATGAGGAGAATATTTTGAGTAGAAATTTTAGTTGATTATTATTTATTAGAACTATCTTAAAATAGCTCTAATAAATTTAAGATTATTTTATTTAAAATATTTTGACCTATTTTTTCTGACTAATATTCACCCACATCTCAAAATAAATGACTTAAAAATTTTTAAAGGTACAATTAATTTGTTTACTCCTGTTGTGTATAGGTCCGGTTTTAGATTAGGTTGTTCTAGCATGATATCACATATGTAGGATGATGTAACGAGCCCCTTGTAATAAGCCCAATTGAATAAAAAAATTTAGGATTCATGTAGCTCTCTCTCTCTCTCTCTCTGTCTCTCTCTCTGACGCACACACACATCCAAGAAGCTCAAGCTTCATCCAAGATTTTCATAACAAGTAATATCAACGCCTCCTTGAGGTGATTTTGGTGAAGGAGAAATGTTTTGTAATCTAAGGAAGATGTAAGGTCGCACAGCAGGCTAATCGCATGGAAGATTAGAGGCGCAATCAGAAACTGTATGGGCCGGGCGCTTAGACGCACGAGCGAGGAGTGGTGGACAATAGGGCTCACATCCGTGTTGCACTAGGCATGGTTATCACAAAGGAAAGGGTCGGACTCGGTAGCCTAGGACTCGGGAGTGGCAGGTTAGACGCGCGTGTAGCACGGGTGGAGCATAGTCGGACAAGCCGCACGAGACGGTCTTGCGATTGAGCCTAAACACATAATTAGATGGGTGAAAGCTGGCGCAGGTTGGAACGCGCACGAGTGTTTGGGGAAGAATGGCAAGCCAAAGTGTGCTTAGTGCTGGAGAGCAAGCGTGCCATGTAGGAGCAGAAGCTACACAAGGTACGAGAGTGCGAATCACGGGAGGAACAACGAGTAAAGCAGGGGCACATGTTTAGTACGCGTAGGAGCATGAGTTGAAGTCGTTGATTGGAAAATACTATGGAGGCTGAACACAAATGGGATTGGTCTCGATTCAGTAGATTTGCTCGTGGAGTTAGTGCAGAGAGCCAATTAGATCGCAAGAGGCGCATATGTGATTTTTTTTTTCATAAAATCGGACCAATTAATGTGGAGATTGTTGTGCATTGGTCCTTTTGGGGGGTAGAGAGAGAGCAAATCAGAATGATGAACTCTTATTGCTTGGTTTGAATTTTTTTTTTTTTTTGACATTTAGGCCAATTAAGGCAGACTCATGCACACATCACATACACAAAACTCGAACCCAAGACCTCTTAGTTGGTAGCCTAAGCTCCAAACCAGCAGATCAATGAGAGTTGTGTCTTGGCTTGAATCCAAAACTTATTGCAACCATCTCTATTTATAGAACAATAGAACCAAAGGGATAAAATGCAGCCAAGGAACTACAAACCTAAAGAAAGTGCAACTATAGATTTGGATCATTCACAAAAGAATCAATGGCAAAAAATTGTTCTGAAGCCTTATTCTTCTACTTTAAGAAAAATAAATATGAAATAATTAAATTTCAATACAATGGAAAAAAATATAATATATTTGAGATATTTGAAGTTATTTAGATGATTATAAAATAAATACATTAATTTTTTATATATAGCGAAGTAAAGTAAATAAAGTGCAAAGATCAATGATGTCAATAGCCGACATCAAATAGAAGGCAGCAGTAAGCGGCCACGGTGGCAATTAAGGGGACAATGGAAGATAATTTATAGTATGTTTAAAAAATGATTAAGGTTTCATTTTGGACAACTTACTTCTGATTCTCTAAGCTATTTTAAGAAGCAATAAGATAATTGTCACAATTAAACGTAACCTTAATCTAACAATTTTCAAATATACCAAAATTTAACTAGATATTAAACTCTAAATTCTTACAAAATTTTAAACTTTAGACTAAACATCAATATTTTCAAAACTCGCACATTTAAAATACCTCACAATAGTTAAATATCATATATATCATCATTTATTGGATCTTTTTTCATTTTACTAAAATTGTTATTGATTTATTTAAATATTTGCAATGCGAGTGGTTTTTATCCATTGGAGATCTAAGAGATGTTACATCGTAATTAATGTTATTATTTATTTGTCATAATTAATATTATTCCTATTCAAACATCAGTAATTTATTCCATATTTTCACGAGTAATTTTCCTCTAATTTTGTCATAATTAAAATATTAAAATAAAAAATTAACGTTATTGGTAATTTATAAAGTAAATTGCTCAGCGGCTATAGTAAGAAGGCATTTAGAACTGTGAATGCGAAAGTAATTGTGCTGATGATAGGCCTGATTTGAATATGAATTAAAGCTATATTAATGAATCATTAATTAAAACTAATTTTTTATTAAAATAAATTTAAAGTTATTAAAAGAGAATTTAAATGCTACATTTATAAAAGATATTGCGAATCATTTTAATAGGATAATATTTGGTATGATATTTAATAAGAGTTTTTTTTTCTAATTATTTAAACAAGTTGGTTTAGAATATCATGATTCAAATTTAATAAAAATAAATTTTTAGATATTAAATTAATTTTGAGATAAATATAGTAAATATTTAATCAACTAACTCTTATATTTCATTAATCTTTAAACAAATCTATTGTCCAAGAAAAACTTTAGATTAAATATTTTTTTCATTTAAATTGAAATATATATATTTATCAATTGATTAAAACTTAAATTACAATTAAAATATTAATTTAGGAAAATATCAATTAGGATATGCTTAATAATTTTTATATCTATTATTTTTTAAGATGAATTTAATAAAAATTTATTATTTAATATAGTCTCATTAAAATTTTGTTAGCTAACCTTATCCAAATTTTTTTATAATTCGCAATATAAATTATATCATAATTCAACTTAAAAATTATTATTTTTACTTTAAGATTAGTGTTAGGCTTAGTCTGGTATTGCTTTTTTAGGTTTAGTTTGTGACAATTTTCTTACTGTTTTTTAAAACAATTTTTTAATAACAAAAATTTTAACTAAAAAATTTTTGCACTAAAAAATTGCTTTAAAAAATAGCAAGAAATTAATCTTAAATGAAACCTTAATTTGAGAATACTTCTATGAAACATTTATATTAATTAATATTAAAATAAATTTAAAAACTTTAAATCTCATTCTAATAAATATATTTTTGTTTCATTTTAAAATTCATCATAAATGCAGAGAAAATGAATAAATAATTATACAAACAACAAGAAAAGTGTATTTCACATTTCACTCCAATCAATAGCATACATAAAGCACAAAATATTTCGTCATCATCATCAATATTCTCCTTAAATAAAATAAAATAAAAAAAGAAAAATTAACTTTGACAGAAAAGAAGAAGATTGCGTTACAGTCACGCCTTGAAGCAATTGGAGAAATGGAGATGATGATGGCCATGGCCATGGCCGGCGTTCTCGCGGTCTATTACACCCTGCACATGCCTGAAATCCTCCACGTGGCACGGTATCCTTATCGACCCCGTATGCTCGAACCCATACTCCTCCTCCGCCTCCTTGAGCAGCTCGACGAAGAGCGGGTGGTTAACGTACTCCACAGGCACAACAAACCTCTGCATCTCCTCCCCTCTCCCACCAACCCTAACAGCCATGCATCCCTTCGGCAGCGCCGCCTCCTTCTTCGCTCCTCCGCCGCCTCTCATGACTGATCTCCCTCCCTCTCTCTCTCTCTCTCTCCCCTCCTTCAAAACCGCAGATTTAAGAACTTTCTTAATTAAAAGCGATTTAAGGACAAGAAATTAAAACCTAGAAGAGAGAGAAAGGCCAGGGGTCGTCGGAGGTGGAGATGGCGAGGAGGAAGAGAGTGAGAGAAGAGTTGCAGAGAGAGATGGGGATGTTAGACATCGCTGCGGGAATGAATAGATGATGAGGACATAGAAAGGCTCTCAGATAATGGAAGGCTTAACGGTGGATTTATACATAAAAAAATTAATGGATAATTACAGTAGTTGACCGTGGATTAATGGTAATTAATTATTTCATTATTTGGTTCTGAGGCGTATGCTTGCCATAGAAGAATACGCTTTAGCCAATACTATTTATTACTGATTGGGCTCAATTGGGGTTAGGTTGACTAAGTATTTATTTAAACGGATTAAAAATTTCAAGTTGAACTCAACCTAACATATTATGTCCGACAAATGGTTTAATTAAAGCGAGATGATAATATAAGAATGATGGTCTGATTTGTATCTCTAAAGTCAAATAATAATAAATTTTTGAAATTTGGGTTGGAAGAGGAATTAGTCCATCATTATTATAAAAAAATTGATGTTGCTCAAATAAATTTAAGTTTAATATTAATGATAACTATTGCGTCATGGAATATTCGCGGCGGTAGAGAAATATAAAGTTTAACGTCTTAGATTTGTACCAAGATTCAGCATACAATCAAATAAGAGATATGGTGCATCATTTATAAGAGACACCAATATGTTTACATTGAAAGATCTGAAAAGGGGAAAAACCAAGGGGGCTTGGCCAAGTTTGAATTAATTCACTAGTATTTGTTGTTGATTATAAATGAGACCCTTCATTGGGGGATAGATGTAGCATATATACATTATACATCATACATTACATGGTGGAAATTGGAAGAATCAGAATTGATATGTTCAATTGATCGGCAGGACTATAGTTGGCCGGGGATGAAGGTCGGAAGGATCGTAGTTGGCGAACGACCCGACAAAGGTCAAAAAGATCATAGACGGCTGTTAAGTGGAATTCTGGCATCAGTTGGTGAATAGGCAGAAGTCCGGCGTTAGTTGATGTTCGGATGTAAGTTCGTTGTCAATCGAGAACCAAGTGGAAATCTAGCGTCAGTCGGCGAATGTCTGGCGTTAGGCAGCAACTGGGTGGAATTATGGCTTTAATTGGCAGAAGTACGGTGTCAGTCGGCAGCCAAGTGGAATTTCAGTATCAATCGGCGAAAGTTCAGTATTAGTCAACAGTCGGGCAGAAGTCCAACAACAATCAATGGCCGGGCTGAAGTCCGTCGGTGGTCGAGGAGTCTGGTGGCAAGAGAATTATCTTCTTCTTCTCCTTCTTTCCTTTTATTCTTGCTTCACTTCCTTGCTTGGGTCTCCTTTTATGAGAAATGATTTTTCTATTTATAGTTTTTTGAGAGTGACATGACAAATAAATAGAAGGAAGATCTAGAGTAAATTGGGAGTGGTTTAATGGACGACCGTTGCTGAATGACTATAGGAAAAACGTAGATTTCCGTCAGATTTTCCGGCGGAAAAAAAAATCGGTCATAATTTCCGTTGAATTTTCCGACTAATTTCCGGGGGAATATTTCCGGCAGATTTTTCGACGTATTT